TGGGAGCATGGGTGTCGGAGTCCATTGGAAGAGGTGCTATGCCAGACACAGAGCATCTGGAGCCCCCCTGCTGCGCTCACCCACCCCTCCCACCATGTTTGTTTTGCTTTGCTGAGAACACTGGTGCCCTGGGTGGATGCTATGATTTGATTATGGTTTTTCTACGGTATTTGGAGGTGGACTTTTGGGGGTGACTGGGATTGGATAAGGTTTATAAGGGTGCGGCTGCTGATTGAATCCTGGTGGTTTTATGAGAAGGGAGAGAGAGCCAGAGGTTGCTCGTGTGTGCTCCCTGTGTTTTGTCACAGTGCCTGGGGACTCTCCCAGCAGAAGTCACCGTCAGAAGCAGGCCTTTGAGCTTGGCCCAGAATTGTGAGCCAAAGAAAACTTCTTTTCTGTACAATCTACCCAGTCTTTGGTATTGTGCTATTAGCAACAGGAACAGAGTACAACAGTGGCCTACCGGTAAAGCAGCACTGGGTCCACAAAGGCCGTGTGCAGCAGCCAATCCTGCCCTTGCTGCCTAAGGTCCACAGATGGACTGAGAGCCGGGGGCTGGAGACAACAGACTGTTCCTACTGCTTCTGGAATGGCAACAAAGTGTCCAGGAGATGTGGGGCCTCGCAGAATGACTGGACTTCCTTTGTGCCTTAGAGACAGTGGAGGCAGGGCATTCCTGCAGAGGGACAGTTAGCTCCCCGTTATCTGCTTGCTATTCCTTCCAAGGCGGCCTTGGCCTGCTCTCAGATGTCAGCTCTGTGTGTGTGTGTGTGTGTGTGTGTGTGTGTGTGGTGGGCTGCTGTCGAGGGGCTGTTACTTTTATCTATTTCAAACACGCAAGTTATCAGCCAATGCAGTTCAAAAGCTCCAAACATTTTAATTCTTCCTTCTAATGCAAACTTAAAGCAGTAAGGCAGGGTATATCAAAGGCAGGAGAAAATAAAGCAGTAAATACAATGTGATCATTCTATTATTTACGTATGTCATCTGCATTCAAAGAAGCTGTGTGACAGGATTTATCAATATAAAACAAGGTATATGGGGCTGGTATTGTGGCGTAGTGGGTACAGCTGAAGCCTGCGGCACCAGCATCTCATATGGGCACCAGTTTGAGTCTCGGCTGTTCCACTTCCAATCCAGCTCCCTGCTGATATGCCTGGGAAAAGCCGCAGAGGATGGCTCAAGTTCTTGGGCCCCTGCACCCATGTGGGAGACCTGATGCCAGCTGGCCCACTCCTGCCCATTGTGGCCATCTGGGGAATGAACCGGCTGATGGAAGATCTTTCTCTCCCCTTTCTTCCCTCTCTCTACTTCTTGCTCTGTAATTCTGACTTTAAAATAAATTAATAACTCTTTTAAAAAAGTATGTTACACTGTAATTTTTCAAGAAAATTTGTGGCAAATTTTACCCATTGAAACATATTTCTGTATTTGTAGATTTTAAAAATGTGGAACCATACAAATTTCTTTCTTTATTTTTAAAGATTTATTTTATTTATTTGAAAGTCAGAGTTACAGAAAGGTAGAGACAGAGAGAGAGGTCTTTGTCTTCCATCCGCTGGTTCACTCCCCAGATGGCTGCAACGGCTGGAGCTATGCTGATCCGAAGCCAGAAGCCAGGAGCTTCTTCTGGGTCTCCCACGTGGGTGCAGGGGCCCAAGGACTTGCGCCATCTTCTAACTGCTTTCCCAGGCCATAGCAGAGAGCTGGATCAGAAGAGGAGCAGCTGGGACTAGAACCAGTGCCCATATGGGACACCAGCACCCCAGGCCAGGGCTGTAACCCACTGCACCACAGCGCCAGCCCATAAAATGTCATTTTCTTTGTGTACCAGGTTTGCCTAAATCCAGGAGCCTTTAACTCAGTCCAGGTCTCCCATATGGGTGACAGGAACCTAATAACTTGAGCCACCACCTGCTGCCTGTTACCAGTCACTGAAGGGACAGCGGTTGCCAGAGCGAGTCTTGTGGGTTCTTTTCCTCAGCTTAGTATAGAAATTAAAAGCCGAGAAACAATTTGCAAAGAGGCAGAAACTTTTATTAGACAGAAAAGAAACTTTTATTTGATTGGCAAGTGACAGAGAAAGTGTCTGGAGACCAGGCAAAGTGCCTGAGTGGACACTGGCTTTGAGGAAGTGTCCTGGCTTCTTAAGGCATCACTGTCTGTTCATTGGGTTATCCTACTGGGGTGCCCACTGGACAGGGGGCTTCACATACACATGCTGATTGGCTTGGGGCTCATGGAGATAGCGGAGGTCTCCTGGGGAATGTCTATCTCCTTGGGGGCTCGGTCCCCTCCCCTGAAAGCTCTGGGTGGAAGATTGCAACTATCTTGAAGGCATGGTTTAAAACCGCAAGGTCACACAAGAGAGCCAGGGTCTCCTGCAGCCGGTCCGACTCTCCCCAGGTGCTCAGCCCCTTTCCCTGCCAGCTGTGGGTGAGAGCTTGCACCCACCCTGGAGGTGTGATTTAAAGCTACAAGGTCACACCTGCAGCACAAGAAGCTGTTAAGGGGGAGAGGCCAGTTGGCCTGTAGACAGGATTCCCAGGCACAGCTAACAACCTGCTTGTAAAGGCCATTCTACCTATGTCTGAGGGGCCCACAGACTCCCAGCCCCACTGGCCGGCCTCACTACCTTCCAGGTTGTGCATTAGCAGGAAGCTGGGCTAGGAGCTGGAATTGGGTATTACACCCAGGTACTCCACTGCAGGTGTCACTACTGGCCAAATATAGTAGACTGTGTGACTTCGCACATTTATTTATTTATTTATTTATTTATTTTTATTATTTTGACAGGCAGAGTTAGTGAGAGAGAGAGAGAGAGAGAGAGAGAGAGAAAGAGAAAGGTCTTCCTTCTGCTGGTTCACCCCCCAAATGGCTGCCACAGCTGGCGCGCTGAGCCGATCTGAAGCCAGGAGCCAGGTGCTTCTCCTGGTCTCCCATGCAGGTGCAGGGCCCAAGCACTTGGGCCATCCTCCACTGCCTTCCCGGGCCACAGCAGACAGCTGGACTGGAAGAGAAGCAACTGGGACAGAATCCGGTGCCCCAACTGGGACTAGAACCCAGTGTGCCGGCGCTGCAGGTGGAGGATTAGTCTAGTGAGCCGCAGCGCCGGCCTCGCACATTTATTTTTTAATAAATCTATCTTGAACCCATTTTTTTGTATAAAGTCAAGTGATACATTATAGTTATTATAGAAAAGAAGTACTGGAGAAGTATTCTATCTCACTGCTAGTATAGGTGCCTGTTGATGAACTCAAGCTAAAAGATAAATTTGTTTGAAATTTTTACTAGAATTTCAGTCCAATTTTTACTAATTAAAATGGTGAATCTTATTTCCCATAAAGGGGAGTTTTATTTGAAAAGGCAAAACAGTTTTTTTTTTTAAAGATTTATTTATTTATTTGAAAGGCAGAGTGACAGAGAGGGAGGGAGAGAAGAAGGGGGGAGAAAGAGTGGGACAGGTAGAGAGAGAGGGAGAAAAAGAGAGAGAGAGAGAGAGATTGATTTTCCATCTGCTGGTTCACTCTCAAACGGCTGTAATAGCAGGGACTGGGGCAGGCCAAAGCCAGGAGCCTGGAACTCCTTCCTGGTCTCTCATATGGGTGGCAGGGGCCCAAAATTTGGGCCATCATTCACTGCTTTCCCAGAAGTGTTCAGATATGGGAGGCCCTGTCTCAAAGGCTGCTTAACCTGCTATGCAACAATGCTTCCCCCCCCTCCCCACTTGCTATTTTAAATCTTACGACAGACAAACACTGATAAGGAGATAATATTTCATGTTGTGATCTGATGAACTCACCAATGGGTAATAAAATTTTTTTACAAAAAGTACTTTAAAACAAAAATAAAAAAATGGGCCAATAACAAGAACAAGTGAGAGTCACATAATCTAACATAGGATAGAGAATAACATGATTGTGCTAAAGTATAATTTTCAAAAAATTAAAGACATCACTCGTGGAAATATAAAATGAAAACCCAAGATTCTATTCAACTAATGAACGAGGGACTTAGTAAGGTGTTGCCTGCAAAGAGGAATTAGTGATACATTAAGGTTCAAAGGGAAATTTGGAAGTTAGGGATAACAAATGAATTTTCTAAACTGGCCAACTAGTTAATATGTAAGAAAAATGTAATTACTGTTCATCTTTTTTTCTTAAACCTCGCAGAAATCGCATTTCTACTGGAAACCATTCCTTTTCATTGCTGTGGACAAGAACCTTTTGCATTATCATCAGTTTTCTACAAGCTAACCCTCCCCGCCTATAGGGCTATTAATATCAGAAGTCTCTGGAAGGTGCATAGTGCTTTAGAACCAGATGATCCCTTGCGGGGCTACGGACAGCTCCCAGGCCAAAACCCCAGTAATTTTTCTCCCCCCACTTCCAGGTTCTGGACAATGTTTCTTGACATCACCAATTTAAAAAGTGTGCATGTAGATACAAATATTTAAATATATTATTTTGCAGGCGGGCTCGGAGGGGCTGGAGGTCCAGGTTGCTTTACAAATGTCTTAAAGGATTGGTTTATTTGTTTAAATAATGACCCTGTCTCCCAAGTCCATGGAGAGCTGGGCTTGACAAAACATTTTGTCTAACTAATCCCCCACACTGTCCATCTACTGCTTCCCCTTGCTGGGGCCCCTATCTTTGTTGAACAAACATAATTTGCAACAAAGCCTGGCAGGGTTATTTTTAACGGGTCCTTTAAGGCTGGCAGGGCTGTGGAGCCCTTATATGGGTGTGCTGGCCTGTGGTTAGCCTCAGGCCAGCTGGGAGGGGAGAGAAGTGTCCCCAGAGCTCACAGGGCCTCCCCCATTGCTTTGTCATGCTTCAGGTCTTGGTTCACCCTCCCAGACGCCCCAAGGTGGGTGTCCTGCAGGCAGCATCTGCCCCTCCCTCCCAGACGGTCCTGTCACCTGGGCTGGCCCCCTCCGTGGTCGCCTCTCACCCTCTCACCTGGTCTTGGAGCTGCCTCAACTCAGCTCCTTCTGCCCCTACCCGTCCTCCTTGGCCTCCCCCGAAGCCCAGAGCGGCTGGGACCCCTCAGGTCACTACACATTTGCGCAGACTTTTCCTTCCCAGCACAGTCGGGGACTCCCCGCCCCGCCGGGTGGGTTCCCCGTCTAAGAAAGGTGAGCGGAGAGAGGGCCTGGCGCTGTCCCGGGCTCACGGCGCGTCCCGCACGCAGCAGGTGCACCTGGCCGGAGTAAAAGCCCGCGCCCCGCCGCCTCCCGGGGACTTCGCGGCGCCCTCGGACCCCAGCGAGCTGCCGGAAGCGGCAGGGCCGCCCTCCTCCCCGCGGCGCCCGCCGTCTTATCTGGGCGCCTCCAGGGCCCCGGGAGAAGTCGCGGGGGCACCGGGAGGGACGCGGCGGCATGGGCCGTGGGCCCCGAGGCGGCGCGGGCCGCCCGCCTCGCCGCCTGCTGTCGCTCCTGCTACTGCTGGGCCTGGCCGGTGGTGCCGCCGGAGCGCCGGGCGCCGACGGTGAGTACCGGCGGGCACCGGCACGGCGGGGCCTCGGGCTGGGCGCGCCCGCTCGGCCCTGGAGGACGCCGGGCGCGCCCGGGGCGCTTCCCCGCCCCTGGTTCGGGTTGGGCGTGGAGCGCAGGTGGGGAGCTGGTGGTGGGGGCGGGGCCGCCGGAGGACGCCAATTTGAAGGCGGCCTCGCCCTGGGCGCCGGGCACCTGCTGTGGCCCGGGACGGCGGCGAGGAGGCCGCGCCCGGGGCGCGCCGGGCAGGGAGGGCGCGCGGCGGCGTCGTCAGGCGCCGGCTCCGTCAGGCTGCGGGCGCTCTGGGGCCTTTTGCAGGACCCGCTTTGGACCCGGTGCAGCTTGCTTTCTACATTTAACGCCTTCGCCTTGCTGAAAAGTCAGGTGGTAAATATAATGAGACAGAGGGCGTTTACAGGAATACAAAGTTCATTCATTCATCCACTCATTCAACAGCCGGCCTGTGCCGGGCGTGAGCGTGCGGTGCCGGCCCTCCTGAGCTCAATCCATTTCCGGGCAGTTGGCGATGTTTGCCCTCTGCGAAATGCAGTGCTGAGCCTGGTAGCATTTACGTTACTCGGAGGATTCAGACACGCAGGGGAGGTGACATTCCCTCGAATTACTGTAAGCAAGGTGGGAGGCCGCGAACGTGGCCCCACGAGGGGCAGGTTGAGTTTGGCTAGGGCTTTGGTGAACGTGGTGTGTGTGGGCCTTGCCATCCAGGGCTGGGATGTTCTGCCCCCATGGTGTGGGGCAGAGGAATTAGGGCGGGGCCTATTTGTGCCCTGGAGAGAGGTGGGGATGGAGTCTCCACTGAGCCCGGAGGGCTTGGACTGGGGGAGCAAGGCCTGCGCTCAGTTGTTCTGGGTGGTGGGAAGCCATTGAACCTCGCTGCAGGTTTCTGTACAGGAAGTGATATAAAAAACGGGTTAAGACCCCCAACCACTTTCTTAATAAAACCAAACTCTGATCCTGAGGAGCAGGGCGGAGGGGCTGTTGGGGGCTCTGTCCCCCGAATTCTCACTGCCTCGGGACTTTCTCGCTCACTGGCAGGTGTTTGTCATGACGGCTCAACTCTGGAGGGGCCGTTTTTGCAGCGTGGGAGGCTGTAATGGCTTTCTCCCTTCTCTGACTCGGGTCCTACAGCCCTGCGGCTGAGAGCAAGAAGGATACGCGTGGAGCCCAGTGCGGGATCTCTGTGTGGTGACGCTGCTGGGTGAATTTGGGACAAGGCTGAGCCTCCTTTCTTATGTCGATGTTCTCACAACCTTTCGGAATCCGGCATCCTGCCAGGGGCAGCTTTCCTGAAAATGGGCTGTGTGGGGAAAGGCTGCAGGCTTGAAGCCCACTGAGGCGTTGTTGCAATAGTGAGCCTGGAAGATCTTTTTTTTTTTTTAAATTAGATTATTTATTTATTTATTTGGCAGAGTTACAGAGACAGAGAGAAAGGTCTTCCTTCTGTTGGTTCATCCCCCAAATGGCCACAACGGCCAGCGCTGCACCGATCCAAAGCCAGGAGCCAGGTGCTTCCTCCTGGTCTCCCATGTGGATGCAGGGCCCAAGGATTGGGCCATCCTCCACTGCCCTGCTGTTCACCCCCCAAATGGCCACAACGGCCAGCGCTGCACTGATCCAAAGCCAGGAGCCAGGTGCTTCCTCCTGGTCTCCCATGTGGATGCAGGGCCCAAGGATTGGGCCATCCTCCACTGCCCTGCTGGGCCACAGCAGAAAGCTGGACTGGAAGAGGAGCAACCGGGACTAGAACCCGGTGCCCATATGGGGATGCCGGTGCCGCAGGTGGAGGATTAGCCAAGTGAGCCACGGCGCTGGGCCCTGAGCCTGGAAGTTCGGGGGATGGGACCCTCAGTAATGACAGCAGGAGAAGTGAATGGAGCTGATAAGGTGGACGTGGCGCTGGGAGGAAGCGCTTAATAACATGTTAGGGGCAACGGAACAGAAGAAGAAAGATGGCATCTGCATTCTGGGACTGGGTGACTGGGGTATAGTGTTCTACCGGAGGGGGAGAATGACTTGGTAGAAAGATGAGTAGCTGTTCTGGGCGTCCTGAATTTGAGGTGCTGTTATGGTTTTTGGAGAAACCAAATCCATAGGGAGTTAGGACTGGCCTATAGGTGTGTCCAGGTGCTGTAGGCTGGATAGTGTCTTGAAGCCTGGAGGTTGAAAGAGTAGCAGCACTGTCTTGGTCCTTTTTTTTATTGTTGTTTTCGCTATGACAAAATGCAGAGAGCAGGTAATTTATAAAGAATGGATTTATTTGGGTCATAGTTCTGAAGACTGGGAAGTCCCAAAGCAAAGCACTAACAAAGCATCTGGAACTGGCCAGGGCTTTCTCGTCACGACCATAATGTGACGGGGCCCGTGCTGTGTGGTCTGTAAGTTAAGCCTCCACTTGGGGTGGCTACACTGTGGTGTAGCAGGTAAAGCCGCTACCTGCAGTGCCAGCATCCCGTATGGGCACCAGTTTGAGTCCCTGCTGCTGCACTTCCATTCCAGCTTTCTGCTATGGCCTGGGAAAGCAGTAGAAGATGGCCCAGGTCTGTGGGCCCCTGAACCCGTGTGGGAGACCCGGAAAAAGCTCCTGGTTCTTGGCTCTGGATCAGCGCAGCTCCAGCCATTGCGGCCAAATGTGAACCAGTGGATGGAAGACCTCTCTCTCTCTCTCTGCCTCTCCTTCTCTCTCTGTGTAACTCTGACTTTCAAATAAATAAATAAATCTTAAAAAAACAAACAAACAAACAAACAAAAAAAAACACCTCCACCTGTGGCGCTGGCATTGTGAGACCTGAGCCTGTATCAAGACACAGCTATTTTAGACTAGGCCTCCATCTTGTAACTCAGGCCTGATTGGGCCCTGAACCCTAAGCCAAAAGCTCCTAAAAGAAAAAAATAAACTCCCCTTACAATAAACTCTCCTAGCAACAGCCAATTAGCAGAAAACAGGGAAATACTTAAAGTTCCAGGTATCTTTTCAGGCAGTTAAGGTAGTTGATAACATCCTGAAACCCTGCTGTTTGGCACGTACACCCTAGCGGCTTGGACCCTATACTTCAGCCAATCATAAAACGACAAGTATAAATTTAAAATATGAGCCTATCAGATGCTGTATAGCCAAACTTGTTTGTTCAACTGTATAAAAACCCTAACGACCTTACTGTAGGGGCCGCCGATCCAGCCCAGCTGTGCCTGGTGTGGACGTTGGACCAAACTCGAGTTTGAAATAAAACTCTTTGCGTTTGCATCAGCCTCGGCTCCTGGTGGTCTCAATTGGTGGGAATCGGACGTTTCGGATACAACAGCACCCCATATGGGCCCCAGGTTTGTGTCCTGGCTGCTCCACTTCCTATCCAGCTCCCTTCTGATGGCCTGGGAAAGCAGCACAAGATGGCCCAAGTGCTTGGGTCCCTGTATCCCCGTGGGAGGCTTGGAAGAAGCTCCTGGCTCTTGGCTTTGGATTGACCCAGCTCTGGCTGCCGTGGCCATTTGGGGAGTGGACCAGTGGATGTAAGACCTCCCTTAGTCTCTTCCTCTTTCTGCCTCTCAAGTCAATAAATAAGTCAATTAAAAAAAAATCATAACGTGGTAGGGACAGGGAGGGATGGGGGAGAGAGAGAGAGAAGCAGCGTGCATGGAAGCTCTTGTCTCTTTTCCTCTTTTAAAGCCACGGATGCCATCATAAGGGGCTCTTCCTATCTAATCCGGATTACCTCCCAAAGGCCCTACCCCCAGAAGTCTTTAACATGGGAATTTGGGGATTAAGTTTCCAGCACATGAATTTGTAGGGAACATATTCAAACCAGAGCATCAAGGATAGACTCCTGGGGAAGACCAAGCTGAGACAGTAGATGCAAGAGAAGAGAAAGCAGCAGTAGCCAGCAGGAAGCAGGCGGCAGGAAGACTGGACTGGTGGAAACCAGGAGACGGGAAGACTAGGGGTGGAGGTTGAGAAAAAGGCTTTGGATTTGTTGACTCTAGGCTGTGGTGACTCAGAGCAAGCAGAGCACTGAGGGCGGGTATCAGATGTACAGGGCTCTGGAGTGAGGGCAGAGACTTTGGCTGAGGAATAGATAAGCTTTTCATATTTATTTGAAAGGCAGAGAGACAGAGACAGAGATTTTCTGTTCTCTAATTCAGTCCCCAGATGCCCACAACAGCCGTCACTGGCTGGGTCAGGCTGAAGCCAGGAGTCTGGAACTCAATCTGAGTTCTCCATGTTGGGTGGGTCTTAGGGACTCAGGTCCTTGAGTTGTCACCTGCAGCCTCCTAGGGTGCACAGTAGCGAGAAGCTGGACTTGAACCTTGGCACTTGAATGTGCGTTGCAGGTATCCCAAGCAGCATTTTTATTTTTTAATATTTGGATATTTATTAATATTTAATATTAATTAATATTATTTATTAATATTAATATTGACTATTGAATATTTATTTGAAAGGCAGAGTTACAGAGAGGCAGAGGCAGAGAAAGAGAGATATCGATCTTCCATCAATGGCCAGAACTAGGCTGATCCGAAGCCAGGAGCCAGGAGCTTCTTCCAGGTCTCCCACGCAGGTGTGGGGGCCCAAGGACTTGGGCCATCTTCTACTGCTTTCCCAGGCCATAGCAGAGAGCTGGATCGGAAGTGGAGCAGCCGGGACTAGAACTGGTGCCCATATGGGATGCCAGCACTGCAAGTGGCGGCTTTACCTGCTATGTCACAGAGCTGGCCCCACAAGCAGCATCTTAACTGTTGTGCCAAATGCCTGCCCTGGCATTCTTTAAACAAATTAAAAGGACAAGGAAGATTGCTTTCAGTTGGGCTGGCCTGGTCAGTGCAGCATATCAGGGGGCACGGTGTAAAGTGAGCTCAGTTTAGACTGAGGAAGATTATTCAGCAGAGAAGGAGGAGTTGAAAAATGCAAACATAAGAGATTTAGGTGAGCCAAGTAAGCTTGTAAGTAGGGGAGGGAAGAATGGAGCACTGCTGTTTCCCTCTCGC